AGAAACAGAGGGGTGGCAGAGGGGTCTCTGCAAACTCAGCTAAGGTAGAAAAGAGGGACACCCTTCTCCATAGAACTCCTCCTTTCCAGCTCACGAGGGATTTCAGGCCCCAATATGGGGAGACGTTGTTGGGATTTTGAATTCTCTCAATCCCTGGAGAGGCTGGAGAACAAGCGGGCAGAGCCAGATATTAGGAGGGCAGAGGCCCCATACCATACCCTGGAACTGGGACTAGTCCTGTTCTGGTGGCTTTTTACCAGGAGAATGAGATGACCTTCCAGGCACCCTGTTCCCTTATGCACACATTGGGGGTGAGTTAGTTCTGGAGTGAGGGAGTGGCTAAGAAGTTGAGTTTAGACAGAGAGATAGCATTTTGTCATTTATTCATTCATTCAACAAATATTTACCAAACAGCTGCTTTATGCCAGGCACTGTACTGGGCATTGGGAGCACACCGGTGAACACAGGCAGACGTGGTCATTGTCCTCGTGGAACTTTCCATCTGGTGGGGGAAATAGGATCATTATTCAAATGGCTACACAAATAAGTGTGAAATAACTGCTAAGTGCTCTGAAAGGATATGTAGTACCATCAAAGTATATAGTTGGGGGACTTGGCTGAGTCTAAGGAGTTAAGGATGAGCTTGCAAAGGAGACAGAGAAAGAGCAGCCAGAGTGGTAGGAGAATTGGCAGTGACATCATAGAATCAGCGGAGGAGGTGGTCAACTCTGCCGAGAGATGCTGAGAGCTCATGAGACACCTATTCATCCTGACTCCTCACCTGCTAGTTGTGACTACAGGTATGGAAAGGCTCTGGCATCATGCCTGGCTCACAGTTGGTGCTCTGTAATGTTAGTTCTCTTTCTCCCCCTCCCCAAGCTAAGGCTCCTTTCAGGGACCCCAGATTTCTGGAACAAAGGAACTGCTGAGGTTCAGCCTTCTCTGTCAACTCAGGCCCCAAACCACAGCCATCAGTCCTCAGTGAGGGACCCTGGGCCTTTCCCTTCCTCTCCACATTAGTCCCTTCGCATGGAGCCCTACCATTTCCAAACATAATTCCTCCTTTGCATTGGTCTTCCACAAAGAGGGGCTGGGGTCTGGGATTAGAAAGATTTCATTCTGGTTTGCTTCTGGGGCTGAGTCTGAGAGGTAAGAGAGTTGGAATCCTCAGCAGCTCCCAAAGTTGCCTGGGGTGAATCTGAGTGTCTTAGGTAGGGAGAGGGGGAGTAGTGGGGAGATGGGGAGGCAGGCTGCCCACCCAAGGCGGCAAAGAGCCCAGAGCCTTTTCCATCCCAGACACCCCATCTGTCTCCCACAGAAGGCCGGGTTGGAGGAAGTGCTGAGAAGGGGGGAATGAAGGGTGAAACTGTACAGTCTGTGAGCTAGCATGAATGCAGTGAAGGTGCCGACCCAGAAGGATGCAAGGTTCAGGGTGGGCTATCGGCAGGGCTACTGAAGACTAGTGGTCAGAGTTTGGGACTGGAGGGGGGAAGATGATGGTGACACTGTGTGCTACTCTCCCTAGACAGCTCTGTGTTTGATTTTGATATATAGTTCCCCATCCTACCGACCAGAGGGCAAAGAATCATACCCCTCTGGCCAAAAAACTAAATGGCATTCCTAAGCCGTGGGCTAGGCTGGATTCACGATGCCTTCCTCTTCCCAGCAGTCAAACCTTTTTCAGACCTTAAAATAATATTTTAGTTAAATTTGACAGTTTTCAAAAAAAAAAAATTGACAGTTTTCAGAGTGTTTCCTTTTACATATTACTTTAAACTTATCCCACTAAAGTCCACTATTGTAATTTATTATTATTTTTGTTGTTGTTAATTCTCACCTGAGGATATTTTTTTCCATTGATTTTTAAAAATATACATATTTTTATTGATCTCAGAGAGAGGAAGGGAAAAGGAGAGAGATAAAAACATCGATGAGAAACATCACATCAATCAGTTGCACGCCCCCTACTGGGGATCTAGCTGGCAACCCAGGCATGTGCCCTGACTGGGAATCAAACCAGCAACCTCCTGGTGCCTGGGACAGTGCTCAACCAAATGAGCCACACCAGCGGGACTCCACTGATTTTTAGAAAGAGTGAAAGGGAGGGAGGGAGGGAGCAGGGAGAGAGAGAGAAAAACATCAATGTGAGAGAGTCATGTCGACTGGGGATCAAACCTGCAACTGAGGTGCATGCCCTTGACGAGGAATCGAACCCAAGGCCCTCTGTCCACAGGCCAATATTCTAATGACTGAGCATACTGACCAGGGCTATTATTATTATTATTCTGCCGATGAATCAACAATGGATAGAGTAAGTGAATAACCAGGGTCACAGGAGAATAAGAAGAGGGGGCTCAGACCCAGGTTTCCTGACTGACTGGAAAACTTTGAGAGATACCCAGGCCTTGTTGGACATACACTGACACAGCCCCCTTCCTGGATACCAACATACAAACATTAGGAAACTAGACATTCCCAGAGGGACAGGCCTCCCACATACAGAAATATGAGAGGGCTCTAAACTGGAAGTTTAGGAAGGAGGGGCAGGACAGGGTATGGGGAGTAGAAAATGCCAACTACGAAGCAGCTGATAGGGTCCACTCCAGGTCCTGAACAGACCCTTGGGAATCCCGGTGGACATCCTCTCCCCACATCCCAAGTTCTAAATACTTCCCCCCCTCCCCAACTTACACTTAAAAAAAAAAAAGATTCCACAGCTTCCCTATCTACTCCTGTCTTTTCTCCCACTCTTCCCTGTTTGGAAGTTCTTCCTCAGGTATAACTTCAGGATGCAGCTTACTCCCTTTAAAACAGGTGCCAAGGGAACCCAAGACAGGGCTTTGGTTATTAAATATAAATAGACAGGGAAGGGAAACTGAATATAGAGACATATTATATCTCTCAGTCCCTGCAAGTTATTAGGAAGAAGGCACTAGTGGTTGCTAAGCAACAGGTCTCCATAGAGGACAAGGCACTGAGGAAAAGCCTCCTTTGACTGAATTTTGGGGTGAGAGGGTAGGGAAGGTGGTAGTCAAAGGGCTGTGGTCTGGCAGGCAGGCTGCTGGGAATGGTTGGTCTGTCCTCCAAGATTCCCCAGGCCTTAGCAAACTCCGTTTTTTACAGCCTTCAGGATTGGTGGAAGGAGGAAGGCCTCAGGCAGCCCTCCCTTCCTGTCAGGAGGAGGGAACCTGGTTTCCATAGCAACCCAGAAACAATCCTGGCCTTGTTTGCTTATGACTTCTCTGTAGCCCTCTCATGGAGCAGATCATGGACCCCTTTCACTGACCTTCAACTTCTGATTTGAGATGGAGGGCAATAGAAAGGTTAGAGCAGGGGGTGCCATCAGGCTGGTCTTACTGTGCCCTAATGTTACCTATTAAGACTAAAGGGGCAGTGACTTTTCAGAGAAAGGGCTTCCAGGTGTCCTCTGACCTCTCAACCTCCCAGGGGCTGCAAAAAGCAGGGCCAAATGGTGGCATAGGATGCAAATTCTGGTCCTGGCTTGCTTTCTAAAGGGCTAGTACAGACTGGGGTTGGAGGTCAGGAGAGAATGAGGGGGTAGAATCGTTTGTGACCCTTGGCCAGCCTGACCCCCATTCTCCTTGACCTGAAGTCCATTGTTGTCAAGACCGGAGAATGGAGATATAGAACATTAACGTATGTCAAGTATAAGTGAGTGGCACCGAGGGGCATAATCTGTTTTTCTAATATGACCACAAGCAGAGTGTTAGAAGAATTAGGCCGACAGCTGCTGGTCTCCCCACCACCACCACCACCCCGCCCTTTCTACACCCCCCTCCTCGCTCTCCCTCTCCCTTCCTCCTCGGCATTTGCACACACCAATGGCAGCGGAGCCCTGCTCGAGATTTCTCTTAATCTTCCTCCGCCATCCTGCGCTCTTTCCGCAGGCGGTGCTGCGAAGCCGGCAGAGCCCCGCGTCACACCTTACTGCTCTCTGAGATTGCTCCACAGAGAGCTCAAGGAGATGGCAATTCGGTGCTGATGCCGGCTGGCAGCAGTTGCAAGAAGGGAAGGAGGAGAGAGAGGGAGGAGGGGAGGGGAGAAAAAGTTGGCACAGATACCAAGTTTTTCCCTAGAGAGATTGGGGGGCGGGGGGCGCAAGAGAAGAAAATGACACAGGGGAAAGGAAACAAGGAAAAAGAGGCAGAGAGAGTGAGAGAGTGAGAGAGAGACAGAATATGAATGAATTTGTTTTCTTAAATCCACACATGGACATCACTACCCCACCTCACTCATGACCCTCTAAAGATCATACCACCAAGCAGTCCGGGTTCCTACACACACACACACACACACACACACACACACACACAACACACACACACACACACACACACTCACAGCCAACCTGGAAATCAAAGCGGCCCAAGCATGTTGTGTGTATTTGTGCAAGTGTATGTGTGTGTGTGTATACGCCTGTATGTTGTCTCTGTTTTGGATCGCAGTAGAATGCAGTATGTAAATGAGATGGTTATTACCGCAATGTTCATCAAGCTGAGCCGAGAAGACATTAATAGCCTGATGAATATGCATGTGAATTTGTTAATTAAGTTAATTATTCTGCTGAAAATGCATTCGTCTTCCAAGGACATTTTCCCAATGATTTTTACATGCTCTAGCCATTAGTCATGCTATATTTTATCAGGGAAATGAGTTTGCTTAAGTTGTAAAGAGAGAGAGAGAAGAGAAGAGAAATAGAGGGGGGGAAAGGAAGAGAAAAAAATGAAAGAGGAAGAAGGAAAATGTGTTGAAGTTGGAAGTGGGAAGGCATCTAAGGCCAGCCTGAAGTCTGAGGCCCAGCTGGGCTTTTGAAGCCTGCCCTCGATTTTTATGGGTACCTTACTCTACAATTTTTTGCCCTTATTTTGATGACAAACTTTTTTTTCCAGTGCCAAATTTCCAACACATTAATTAATTGTTGTAGCCAATTAACTGTAGTTGTGCAAATGAGTTTAGCACTAATTACCATGCAGTGCCTGTAATCACATAAAAAACTTGCTGAGAGAGAGAGGAGAAAGGAGGAATGGGAAGAGAGTGGTGACAGGAGAGAAGGGGACCCGGAGTAGAGAGGCAGCCAAAGAAAGAGAGTAAGCAGGGGTCCTGAGATTTCCTGGTTAGGAGCCATTTTGGCCGCAAGGGAAGAGAGCTGTCTCCCAGCCGCGTCAGGACCTCCGACAGTCAGGAAATCTCAGAGGGGGTAAGAGCTGGTAAGAGTGGTCTCCCTTGTGTCTAAGAACTTCCAACCAACAGGCAGATGCAGAATGGATATCTCTGGTTGTTTCAATGCAGTATAGTCCCCATAAATCCTGAAGGCCTCGTGTTTTCCTCCCATGGCTGGAACTATTGGTAAGGATGGCGGGCGCCACCGTAAGAACATGGGCCATTTTTGATGGGCCAAGGGAGATGGAGAAGAGTACTGTGCAGTCAGCCTGGTTCTGGAGCCATAAGTAGATAGGGAAATTATTATGAGTCCACAATCACTGGACTAGGCCAAGGGAGCAATAGTAACATCAAATACAAAAGAGCCAGTTCCAGCAAGAAGTGGGAGGAGGCAGCCTTTGGCCAGATACAGCTCCTAAGAGAGGAGCCAAACCTTCTCTCCTACAAGTTGGCATCTCTACCATCCATCACGTCTGGGCCAACTCAGGTTTCTACCTGTCAGCTTCAACCAGTGACCAGAGGCTCAGGGACAGACTAAATGATTTCTACAACTCCTGACTTAGCTGGAGGGGAAGAGCAGTGGTGAAGTCAGGACTAAACACTGGACTGGCATGTTAGCTCCCACTCTGTTTGCCCCCTGTACCTTGTTCCAGACACTGAGACTGCCCAAGATGTAGTACATGTGGAAATGAACTGTAGTTCCCCTCACCACAACCAACTAAAAAGGTGCTACATCTCCCTTACTCCTCCAGAATAGAGTGCTCACTTGTTGCCATAGGCCTCATTTTCCTTGGACCTGGCAAGAGACATATGCAACTTCATATTTCCAAGCTGTATCTTGCCTCCTCATTCTCTGACAGACAACGAAAGGGTGGATCCTCCCTTTCCCATTCCAGGTCTCGGGTCTGTGGGCAGATGGCCTGTGGGCTCCGTCCACTTCAGCCTTGTTCTTCCCTGGCAAAGGGAAAACAATTTCAAGGACACATGCCTCATTGTCCCTGCTCAATGACACTACTGTTCTTCTAACCTATGAAACAAAGTTAGCTGTGATGACCTGATTTGACCCAAGATGCTCCAGTGTTCTTCGTGCCTCCAACTTCTCTCTTCCAACACACCCTTTTCCCAGCAACCTTAGTCAAGGTCTGAGAAAGCCTGGTGTAATGAAAGAGCCCTATTATCTTGGGTTCCAAGATATCTTCCTTGCCATTTAATACAATGTGATAGTGGGAAAATCATTTACTATGAGCCTCATTTTTCCTAGTCTATGAGATGGAAATAATAGTGCCATGCCCGAAAGATTAAGAAGCTTAATAGCTGAAACCGGTTTGGCTCAGTGGATAGAGCGTCGGCCTGCGGACTGAAAGGTCCCGGGTTCGATTCAGGTCAAGGGCATGTGCCTGGGTTGCGGGAGATGTGCAGGAGGCGGCTGGTCGATGTTTCTCTCTCATCGATGTTTCTGGCTCTCTATCTCTCTCTGTCCTCTCTGTAAAAAATCAATAAAATATTTTTTTTTTAAAAAGGTGCTATTCCTCCTTAAAAAAAAAAAGCTTAATAATTGTGAAGATAAAACACTCAGCGCACCAAGTAAAATGAGCTACTTCATTAATTCCTAATGAGTACAAAGCATTCTTTTTTTTTTTAATCCTCACCTTCGGATA